TTTTTATCCCGGGAGGAACCTGTCACTGGCTGAGATATGGAACAAACCGAAACCCCGGAAAATTGAAAGAAAAATAATAAGTACTAACCGGGGGAGACTGGAGATTGTTCTTTACTTCGAGAATGAAATCCCAGCTGATTGGGCATCCGTTAGGATGGGAATACACCCGCAAACCACAACAAGGTGGTTAGGTCACTGGATCCACAAAGGATATTTAGCCATTCATCTCACGAGCATGATGAAGCAAAAGAATGATTTGGTGATGAAGAAGCCGAAGATGAGCAATACCGAAAAATAATAAGGAGACCCAGCTAGATCTATATCGATATTCACGAAGGGCTAGGGATCCGGCAGCGATCCTTTGAATTTCACTACCAGTCTTCTCCATGTAGCCGATCCATAAACATATGGCACATGCATAGGGTGAGCACCCTTCACATATTTACGCCACATAGAATCTGCCCAAAAAGCCTTTCCACTCTCTCTGATAACCAGAATATCATTCTTTATTTGCATCTTCGCGCTGTTAATGGTTTAATTCATATTTCCTTTGTTTGGAACAAACGGTTCTCAACTTTGCCTCAACTTTAGAAGCAAAGCGAAGTTCAGTCAAGAATATGGTCGAGACTCACAAGCCCTCCAGGGACTTCACTGCGCTTCGCTTCGTTTGTATGGTCGAGTATCTTCAAACCTCAATTGCTTTGAGGTTAATTACATCAAGCCTTACCTTCCCTCGCCAGACGACTTAGGTCTTCCACCTATCACTGGAAGACTGTTCCCTTGAGGGATCTGGGAAGAGGCGTATATTTGCCATTGGTAACCACATAAATCAGAGGCTCTTAAAACCGATCCATCTTTGGTTAGCTTCTGTGTTGAAGAAGATACCACAAGATGGTACCTTCGACCAGTTGGCGCCTCTGGTTAGGTTAAAGGGGGCTGTGAACACGTTCTCATATTTTTTGTCTGCTCGATAGATGGCCGCTGCTAATCCTATTTTCAATATTCCAGTTCTTATTTTACCGCTCATTCGCATCGAGCGTAGTTAATTCTACCTTGGCCACAAACGTCTGTCTTTGATGTACCGTTTGTTAAAAGGAAATGGTTAGAGCTTTGACTCTCGCAATAAAAAGAGTTAGTCTTCTAAATTAATCTATCCTCGCTTTTGTGAACTTCCTGGCTCTCGCATGGGCTGTCTCCAAACCCCTATTTTCATGACTTTCATCTTCCATGACTGTGTATGTCAAAAGACTGATTATCTCTCTCTTTATGCATTAAAAAGAAGTAGGAGAGTGACTACTTCTTTCTGCTCGTAGTTTCTCTCTTCTTAGTGTACTCGTGATAGAGTACTCGCTGCAATAGCGCTTACGGCAGCTCGTAGCTATTGTATGCTGTATGCATGGGGGTAACCCATATTGATTGCACTGCTGTTAGGAGCTCATACTTTCTCTCGTGGTAGTGCGCTTACGTCGTGCTCGCACCGGTCGACTACAAGGCCCTATACCTTGGTATAGTACAGGTGGTGGTCTCTCATTGGGGCGAAGTACAGCATAGGGGTCCTGACTCTCTGTCTCTGCATCCTGACCGCTTCTTGCTATGGGACTAACGGGAGTGCCCGCATCTTGCTGTGAACTAGAATCTCCTACTCGAAGACTCATATTTTGAGATCCATCCGTGCTGTGCTTATCCCCTAATGTGTCGTCCTCCATGAATGTGGCACCTGTCTTGAAGAATCCCTAACGGGTGATGATAAACCATTAAGGCAACCACCGGAGCCCAGGGGCAAGACTTACATAAGCCACTGTCAACCACTGTAATAAGAGCAATGGGATAGACGACAACGAGCGAATCTCTTTCTACAGACCCACCCACAAGGTAAGCCACCTCAGACCACTCTATTTGGAAGCAAACTTGGAAAACCATCCTTAATTAAAAAGAAATCGAAATCTCATAAGAGAAGAAAAGAAGCAGTTCTTTCTCTTGTCGACTGTTCACTCAGGGGTAGCGGTGAATAGGAACTCTGCTTTCTTATCGAACGGATATAGTCAGTGTGCCACGAGTGCTCCCGATCTCTTTCTTCTCGCCCGGCCTTAAAAAAAATGCTTTGAAAGCCGCTAACACCCATACTCTTTTCGATTCTATCTATCTCTTATGTAAGATTTAATGAAGGATGCCTTCAGTCGGAGGAGAGAGACTGACTAATTCGATTCTAAGAAGCAAAAAGGCACTCCTAAGCGCAGAAAGTAGTGAGCCAGGTATGATTTTTTCATTCTTCTTCCCCCCTCAACTCCTACTTGGAGGGGAGTTTCCTCAACGCGATATGCGGGACTGAGCTAAACTCGATTGTCCAAGTTACCAAGAAAGAGTTCCTTTTCACGAGTAAGAAAATAGCAGGGATCCCAGCACCAGACTCAAACTCAATCTTGTGATCCTCCTCCCTCCTAGGTGGTCACTTTTTGGGCAACTCTGAGGTCATTACATCCTTCTATTCCTCAAGGACAGCCCCAATCTCTGTAGGCACCTCAGCCTTGCTGTCTTGTCTCTCAGTCAGCTCGACCCCTGTTATTTATTGTATTGTAGTCTCAGCCCTTTTGTTTGAAAGCCTTACTTAGCTTTATGGCTGATAGCATGACCTTGGTCGTCTTGGTCCCTTGTACCACAGGTAAGATGCAGGGGTCTTCTCTTCCCCGCGAATTCATCTGTGGTTTAGAATCTTTGACTTGCCTTAGGAAGTATATCCCCCAATACCACTTGCAAGTCATCCATGGTGGCTAGAGTCAGGTTTACCTTGCCCTTCCAATCACCCAACTTTAGAAGCGAAGCGAAGTGAAGGAAAGGTGTAATTGACCATCGGTGACCGGGATTCATTCAACTATGAATATCCTATGCATACAATAATTTACTATACACTGACTCTATACCGGAAATCATTCCTATTTCTAGTTGTGATGTTCGAAATTACTGATGTTGGATCAATTCAGAGTAGATTGGATTCTCGGAATCTCTGCTTATCCGCTGTCCTCATAGGGGTCTGGTGAAGTCTAGTTCGATTGCTTCCAAACGCTGAACACTCGGGAACATCTTGTCGCTTACCTTGTAGCTGTGGACCTGTCGTGTGAACGACCCCCTGGTTGCCCGAGCGGATGCATATATCTTTCTTTCCAAGACTTTTGTAACTTTAGCTTAGTTGAGTCTTTGAGAGTCCCTTCAGTGGAAGTAGAAGGAATCGAACTGCCATCTGATTACCCGTGGGATCTAATGGAACGCGAGCACTGGCGTATAGCAGCAAGTTAGGCCGAATACCTAGTTGAGAGGGGTCCCTAATGTGATACCCTTCGTCCATTCATTCAGGATCAAAAACGGGCCTAATTGAATCATCTCATCGAGGATTGCATGTGAAAAGATCGGATCTTCGAAATCCCCAATCGTTCGTTACTGAACCTAAAAACTCGCTGCTTATCATGTAGAGTAATGCTCTCGCTAGCTGGAACGGAACTATCAAATGGAGGAAGAAGTCAAGCGTAGGCCTTCTTTGAGTATAGCTTCAAGTAGCTCTAAGAAGTTTACGTCTTTATCGGAGGTTCGGCACTCGGCTTTCTGAAGTTATTCCATTCCAGGGCGTGAAGCTTTCCGTGGACAGGACAGGGTCCGTCAACTAGCTTAGCTACCGATTGGGGGATGCTTTCACCTTGAAGGTATTAACGGGCTTGAGCCAGGCCACGCAAGCAAAGGAAAGATTTATTATAGGCCAGTGAAATAGAAAGATTCGCTCTTGGGCTGACCTATGATAACCACACATCCAAGTATGGATAAGTCGAGAGCTTCTCTCTCTGCAGCAGCCTTCGATCTAGTGTTCACGCTTCGGTTCTACTCTACTAGACATCGGGCCCCTGAACATGCTTCTTTTTCTGTGGTATAGCTCCGAACTTCAGTGTCAGCAACTCCATTTCTTCTGGTGGGCAGTAGTGTAGGGGTGCCTGCGAAGGCAGAGCTGAGCCATCTCCTCTCCTGCTACTCGCGCGGCTGCTTATCAGCCCGTAGCTTGCAGGCGCTTGAAGAAGGATCAAGAAAGTCACCATCGGAAGTTGTAGTTCGCTGGAACCTCTAGTGGTGGAATTCACTGAAGCAGTGGTTAATCAAGTCAGGTCAAAAGACTTCCTTCACAAATAGTGGATATGCGACAACCAACTATCTGCTGAAAGCCATATCAGCTCTTAGCCCTATGGTTCTTTGACAGCAACCGTCATCTTAGAGCACAGGGAAGCACTTAGCAAGCATTCCGGCAAGCCGTGAACAGAGCTGGCACTCGTAATCGTACTTATAAAAAGTCGATAACCTATTCCCTTTCCTCTGTCCTTTTACCCTTTGAACAGCAACCGGAAACAGGCATACAAGCAGGTCACTTCTTTGGTCTGCCTCTGGTCAGGAACATAATCAAAGGAAGAAATACACCTAGTAAATATGACTACCTCATAGATAATAGATAAAAGAAAAGACAAACAATAGACGTGAGTAAGCAAGCAGAGAGCTTCTTTCATTCAATTTCGATATTAGGTTCGATCTTCCACTAGAGTCGAGCGAAACCAGGTCTTTCGTGTAGGGGGGGAGAAGAGTAAGACTTACAAACATCCGGCTAACACCAGGTCAAAATCGCATGTTTCAAAACATCGGATAAACATTCACTTGCTATTATTCATCCACTTGATCGCCGCTTGACTGCCACATAACTGCTGCTATTCATATTAATCTCCCTTGGTTCCAGTCTTGTCTCGCATGCCAGCAAGCAAGTATTCTAGAAAGAATGACTTGGTTTCATGTAGCTACGCTATCTTCTCAATTACATCGATCCTGCCTTGTGTTTGTGTTGCTAGGAAATGGCTAAGCCTTTTTTAAAGAGGCTTTCACCCGCACTAGCATTAGTATATGGTGATATCCAACTCGAAAGCCCGAACACAAACAAGCTTACCTTCTTATTAGAGAAAGGGGAAAGGTTCGATGTAATTGTCTCGACCATACAAACGAAGCGAAGTGAAACAGAATGGGTCTGGGCGAGTCTGTTCTGTTCACCGGGACTTCTACTTCCTTCTTTCACCGATAGATCGTACTGCTTACTTGCCTGGCTGGTTCGCCTTGTAGTCATATAAGCGTCCTACTGGTCTACAGAACGCATCTTTTTCAGGGGTTCCATGAGAGATATCCTAAAAGGCAAGGAAAGATATGTTAAGCATAAGATCCGGTTCACCCAGAACTCTTCCAATCATGCTCAAAAGCTTATTAGGTTAAAGGGTTTCGTATACCGTTTACGAGCTCAACTGGAAAGAAAGTAACTTAAGCTATTACTTTTTTGAGAGGACCGAAAAAGATGCTTTCTCGAATGAGTTTATCAAAACCCGTCTTTTTTTGATAACTTTCAAATAGGGTTAAATCGTGTATGCACGCTACCTCTTGTTGGAGCAGACGATTCGCCGATCAGCACATTTCTCGTCTTCGTCTTCTAGAACTCCCCTTGCTATAATCCTAGATAGCCCTATCTAGTTCAAGTCTATAGTGAAGGAAAGGTAGGCTACGTTATAGTAGCGCAATGCGGGATTCCTTGATGGCCGAAAGCTGCTCCTAAGGAATGAACGGAGTAGGAAGCTTATATATATACAAGGCGAGACAACTAGCACGAGCAAGGTAGCTAGTCCCAGGAGCTGCATATGATGAGGAAGGGGAAAGCGATACCGGAAATCAACTACCCTTTGGTACTTCCTAAGCTCCGGTCTATTCCCGATAGCCCTATCAAGTAAAGTGGATTTGGTATCCACGAGATAGTTAAGGAAAGTACCACCAATGGGAAGTTCAACCTCTAACTCCTAAACCAGCAAGCAAGGGAAGGAGTCATGCTTATACTACGGCATACGAACTAGTCAGTGCAGAAGACCAGTCTCTCCAAGGCAGAAGGAGTAGCAGTAGGTCTTTCAATTAGTATAGGGCAAGCTGTGAGAAGTAGGAGGAGCAAGTACGTGAACAAGTAAGGGAGCAGGGCTTATATATATACAAGGCGAGCAAGATCGGAGAATAGCCTATACTAATTTAAAGCGGCGAATCGTCTTCTGGCAAGTCTATAATTCTTTCTTGCTTTTAGTTGCTGCTTTGATTGCTTTATTAAGTGAAAGTTGGTATACGAGGAAGACCTATGGATATATCTGGAGCTTGAACTTGATAGGGCTTCTTTCGGCGCTTTAGCTCGCTTCCGGAACTGGCTAGATCATAAAAGACCTAAACTCGTAGCTGCCCAGTTCACTCGCCTTGTATAAATATAGGCTAGCAACCCTTGCTAATTTACTAAATAAAGCTGGCTTTCGTTCTTGCTGCTCTTGGCTTGTTCACCTTTACTAAATATGGGCTGGCCTTTACTAAATGAAGGCTGCCGGAGTTTTTCCAGAAGGTGTAGCAGACCGATCACCCATTCACCTTGTATATATATAGGCTGCCGGAGGTTAGACCGGTAGTAACCTTCCCACAGCTAAGACAGATCTCCTATTAGAGGTTATTCCTTACTCAAGGGTTAGACCGATAGATCATACTGGTACACCGCCTTCGCACTAAGAGCCTTCAAAAGCTTCGGAGTTAGGAGTTTGGTTTAGACAAAAGGTAGCAGACCTCCGATCCGTCTTCGGCTCGTTCGCCTTGGAGTCATATGGGGTAGGAGTTAGCCCTAGAAAGTGAAAGTCCATAGTAAAGCGGACACGAACATGGGCTATCGCTTTACTTGATAGGGCTAAAGGAAAACCAGTAGGAAGACCCGCTTATATTTAGTAAAGGTGAACCAGTCAGCTAGTGAACCGGTAAGCACACAGGCAGGGTAGCTAAGGCGATGGTGTGAACGGGAAAGACGATTGGTAGGGGAGGCTTTTAGGGAACCTTAACCCCTATGACTTAAGGATTTGGTATCCACGAGATAGTAGAGCTAAGGTAGCTTAATGCCCGGACCGCTTTACTTGATAGGGCTAAAACTCCTAAACGAAAGCTTTATCTCATTCATTAGCGAAGGAACGGAGCAAAAAGCAGTCTTAACCTCAGAAGTGAATCGGGTTCCTTTAGAAGTTCAAGCGAAGAAAGAGTATTTGAACATGAACACCGGCAAGAACGGATAAAATAGTACCTTGAAGAAGGCCAAAAGTAGTAACTTAGTTTCGTATCTCCATTGATGAGGAATTCAGTCCACTTTCTTTGCTATAAGCGTCGGGTTTGGTACCGAAGAGATAGTGAAAGAAAGGAAGACCTACGCTAAAACTTCTGGAAAAACCCCTAAGCGAGCTGTGTAGCTAGTGAAGGGGTATGCGGTGCTAAAGCGAATGTGTACCGTACCTTCTGTCTAACTACTAAGTTAAAGCCGGGCGAATGGGTCAGCTAGTGCCAATGAAGGAACGGAAACAGCTTCGGTGGTCTACCAGTCGGCTAATTCCTAACCTACTAAGCGAATGGAGTAGCTAATGCGAATGAAGGAAAGCAGGGTAACCACAGTCTAACTCCTCTTTCCGAAAGCTTCGCGGGTATGGGCACGTAAGCAGGAAGACCGTTAGCATAGCAGGCCTGTTATCGTACCAACCACTGACGCTTAGTAAGCTAAGGCAGAAATGCGATAGGCATACGAACCAGCCAGTGCAGAAGACCAACTAACCGGAGAAGTAGGAGTGAACAGGTAAGCACACAGGTCTTGTCCAAGGCAGGATTTCCAGTAAGTAAAGTAGGTGTACCCTCTGGGGCTTTGTCCGGGTCCTATTCTCTGTCCAGTGATTAAGCTTGGTAACTTCTCACAGGAGATAAGCCTTAGCTAAGGAACTAACTTAAGAGGTGAACGAAGGAGGGTACGGTAGAAGGAATACGAAAGAACGGGGCAGCAGGTCTATTCGCCATTGTAAGAGCAGCAAGGGAAGCATACGAGCCTGCAGGTTGTTCCCCTGACCTTCTGTCTAAAGGAATACCAGTAGACCAGTAGTAGGAAGACCAGTACGAGCCAGCTAGCCCGAGACAGGATAGACGATAACGAAAAGCGGTGTACCAGTCCTCTGTCTAAGACGGATACTCGCAAGTAAGTCCTAATATTGGACGTCCGTCACATGGAAGTCGAAGGAATACCAAGGAAAGAAGTAGCGGTAGGCTAGCACGTGAATAGGGTAGCTGCGAACCACCCGGTCTTCTATTTCCTAACCTTCGAAGCGAACGAACGAACGATCGCTTCTACTCCTAAGCTAACCTTCGAACAAGCGAAACGAATGAGTCAAAGCAAGAAAGTCATAACCGCCTGGAGCGTATTCTAACCTCCTAATCGCAAGTCCGAAAGCTGTCTAACCTCCTAAGGAATGAACAATCGGTTATGGAAACAGATACTTGGTCTACTTTCTGTCTAAAAAAGAACGAGTCGGTATGAATGAGTTAGTACGAAAGCAGGCAAGCAGTGGTAGAAGACGGGGTGAGCTAGGCTCGCGATCATAGGAAATATGCCTTAGCCGGATGACACGCCTTAGCTGGGACAAGGATACTCCTTTCGGTATAATTGCCTAAGCGAATGGGGTAGCTAATGCGATGGCTAGTGTGATGGCTAGTGCGGTGGAAGGAAGCAGCTAGTGAAGGGGTATGCCTTTGGTCTACCGTCCCGCTTTACTTGATAAGGCTAACTACTAACTCCTAACTCCCAAGCTATTAACGAAAACAAGAGGCAAGGAAGACAAGTAGTAGCTGCCCTCAATGTAATCGATCCTCCTAAGCTTATATCGCGTAAAGCCGAAAGAGGAGCTTATATGACTCCAAGGTTCGATGTAATTGAGAAGGAATGACCGCTTTAACTAATAGGGGAGTTTGCGTAGGTCGAGGATCGATTACATTGAGGCTCATATCCGATCAGAAAGTTGATAGCTACTCCGCCTTCCTTATGACCAATCACCCGTGGTACCATCAAAGGATGCGTTCTCCGGCATTCAATATCGGCTTAGGAGGGATTAACCGGTAGATCGTAGACCTACACCCTGGCCTAGCTTGTTCACCCAACGAACGAAGCGAAGCGAAGTGAGACTAAGAGAACGAAGTGAATGTAATCGAGGAACGAAAGTAATGGAAGTGAAGAGAAGTAAGGTATCGAAGGGAATCGAAGTGAAGCGAAGATAAGACTACACCGAGCTAAGCGACTGTGACCGAAGCTACTGTGTTACGAAGAGAAGGAATTAGCTACTACGAATCTGACTGACCGAAACGAGGACTGCGCGAAGCTTTTCTTTCCACTACTAATTAGAAGATCGGTACGAGCTTACGCTTACGGCTCGAAAAGTCCGTAAGCTTATCGTTCGGGATACCTATGTCAGGCATCCCTTCACTTGTGGCTTCGAAGCTTTTTCTTTTAACAGCTAAGTTAGAATGCTCTTGTGACTTCGCGAAGGGATTAGCTGCTACGAATCTGACTGACCCCGAATGCTGAAACCTCTTACACATCTGTGGTGAATGCCTTACCTTTTCTTGCTTACCTTGCACCCCTATACCTTCCTAGCCCTAAACCTAGCTGCCCTACTAGACCGATCTTTGCATACCCGTGCCTATCCCGTCTTTCTGAAACTACTACTTCGAATACAACACCTATTCTTGATCTATCCCTGCCATAAACTCATCTCTTGCCCAGCTACTACTACAGGACCTTCTTTCTATACCTTGGACATGAATTACTACAGTGGTGCTACTCTTGCTTCGTAGAAATATGCATCTCTTCTATACATACTTGACTCTCTGGCAAGGAAGCTATGCGAGGTATTTCATTTCTAAAGGAAGGTATTCTCCGTTCCTGATACCCATTAAGGGCATCACGAGCGGAGAGGAGTGAATAAAGGCTGAATGCCTATGGGATCAGATGTTTTACTGGAAATTGGAGGGGGCATGATAGGAATATTTTCCTTTCGGATCTAGATACTAGAGGAAGAGATGGACGGTTATACCAGTTAGACCAGACCATTAGTCCTTGAAAACGGTGATGGAGGGGATGGATGGTTCGCGCGAGTCTTTCACGCCCCACCAGATCCAATCGAAGCGGTAGCAGTGAGTGCGGAAGATTTCGAAACCGCTTTGAGAAAAAGTCTGATCTTTGAATGAGACTAGAGGTATTGGTACAAATGCGAGTACTTAGACTGGTGGAACTGGCACTAGCCTGGTAAGCATTCTGACAAAGAGGGCAAAGCGGGCACTGGCTGTAAGGAATTAGGATTGGACAGAACCAACATCGAAAGCTACTCCAACGGAAATCGCCTTGGCTGGAAAGGATTACTTAAATACACAAATGGAATCAGCTGGATCGTATTCCCGAGCTCCCTAGTTGAAGCTATTCCTACTTTATTTCTAAAGAGATTTACTTCCGTGGAAGAAAGTTTTGATTTACCACGGCACTATTTCAATCTTCCATTTCGCCCTGGGCCACAGCCTAGCCTTGGTACTTAGTAAAGCGTAGCGATGCGCCAGGACCGTATTATATGATAATAGATGAATCCGTTGCCCTTGCTTGATTAGTTCCTGAATGTTTTTTACGAATACCGAGAATGCAGTTATAGAAAGTGCTACGGGGTGTCAGGTGCTTCCTCAGAGAAGGAGCAAAACGAAATTCAATTCAACCTGGAACTTTGACAACTACTCCCGATGCTTCTGCTCTCAGCTAATATCGATAACTCGCTTGAAGTAGAAACTTTCTTTCATAATAAATTGATCTTAGACTGGTCTAGGGTTCGCCTTGTGATAAGATAGCCCTATCCCGGAAGTGATTCATCAATCAACATGAATTTTGGATATGTACAGCTTAAACTCCTCCCTTTCTGAAGAAGTTATGGCGCAGGTGCCCTTGAATTAAGACTTCCCTCCGCTCATTAGATCTGGACCGCTGGTGAATTTCTAGTCTAGAAAGATCTTTGCGAAACCGAATCAATTGCTTGGGTTCAAGTTCTTGTTTTTACATAGCTTAATCAAGAATTCCGCTAACACTACTCATTTCTTTGCTTACAACCTTAGCGGCCTTCATCTATTTCCCCCCGCCCGGAACTACATCCCATTTGATGCTCTCGCCACACTCAACAACCTACTACTCTTCTTACGCCTTGCTTCTTTCTGTGATCACAAGGTGGTCAGCAAGAGGGATGCTGCAGTGGCGATCTCAATTATGTGGACAATTTGGGGGAGAGCAGGAATAGCTATCACCATGGGGAAGTTCAGTATCAACCACAGAAATCTGTCGAACTGGTCGAGGAGCTCGTATTGGACCTAGGAAAAAGGGAGCTCTAGCTCGTCCCTCTAGCGCTCGTAAAATAAATCCTCCTTGTCCGAGAAGGAAACAACCATTTCATTTCTTTAACCCGGATTGCATTATTTAATTGATTTACTACGTCGTGTACTACGTATTGCTTCGCGAATGCCTTGCTTGAAGGAAGGAAGCTGCTGACGAGGAGGGATGCCGTCAAAGGGCCGGATTTGGGCTTTGCTAAAGATACCGGTTCAATATGTCATTTCCGAAACCGAGGAGCACACCCCTGGGAGGACAACTCAAGCACCAAAGACAAAGGTATCGCTCGTAAAAGGAGCTCGCATCGTAGTACTCGCTCTAGCGTTAGGTGAAATCCTGTGTTAGGTAGGATAGGCTGGTATTCTAGGGATATGCTCACCCGCAGCCCGCGTAAGGTTCGCTGGACAAATGGTATAAGGTTCGCATCTTCCCAAACCCGAAGAACTTCTTTGAACTACACCCAAGGCTAATCTCTAGTATTGGTACCGGGGGCCTGTGTCTAGGGATAGGAGCCGTCAAAGGGGTAGTCATCGCTAGAAAATCCGAAACAAGGCTATCGCTATCCCAGGGCCTAGCATAATAGGAATCGGGTAATTCGCTCGTGATTTCATATCTCTACTCAATTGGCTAGCCAGTCGTTCGATGGTAGTCCACCCGTCTCTTGCGAGTCTTCTCTTGCGAGATAGGGGTTTTAAAGAAGGTGGGGATCGTAGCTGCACCGTAGAATCCAGTGAGACCGCAGACTCCAGGGATTTGATCGCGAGAATCCAGTGTTTGTTTTTTCTACGGACGCTCATGGCCGCTAGGGCCTGGTCTCGGAGCTACAATCGATATCCGGTGATTAGCTACACTCGAGTATCGTTCGTGCTTATCGAGACGTGAGCGTACGCGAGTGTAGCTCCCAACTCAACCCGTAGACAAAACCCTAGCTCGCAATCCCTGGCGGTTGTAGCTAAGCCAGCTAGCTCGTACCTAGGAACCGAACCTTCCTTCTTTAAAATCCCTAGCCAGCACGGGCCAGCAAGGGGGGTAAAGCACGGTGAAGCTAATCCCTTGAGCCCTTACTTAGAACGGGTTCGCCATATCTTGCTTTGCGGATATGGAGTCTTTTCAAAAAGAGAAAAGGTCGGGGTGTTAGCGCGGTGTAGCTACGAGATCCTACTGTGAAAACCTAAGCACGGTACAGTTCCGGAGGTATTGATACGGTCTTCCGCCAACGGTTTTGGTCGCATCCCCGATAGTCATCTCATCGTGGGGAAAAGGGAGGGAAGCTATCTCGGTTAAGCTGGCACCCCTAAACAGCACCCTGTACGGATGATATTAGCGGAGTTGTTCAGTCTGGTCGAGCGTTGTTAGCTCGTGCCCCCCCTTAATGTCCGGCGTCTTGTAGTCCCTTCAGTCAAATGTCCCATCATACAGCTAGCGTTCTTCGCCTCCCCGCTATTAGGTACAACGCGGCACTCTTAGCTGCGGGGCCGTTAAGCTCAGAGGATGGGCAATGGAGTCCAACTTCACATTTGCTTTGGGTGTTCTCGAACATCACAATAAGTAACCCTTCGATACACTCCAAACTTCCTTCTTCATTTCAAAGCAGGAGAGGGGAAACCCCCCTCGGACATTAAGCCACCCTTTAGGGTCGGCGTCCACAGGGAGTTGACCCGATGACTACTACCTTTGTTCGATGCAATTGACCTCATCTGATTTGCTTTGATCTGCTTTTCGCCCAGTCATTTTTCCTCGTCTTAGATCTTTTCTTCGAAGGGCACAAGTAGGGCGACGCGCTAAACCTATATTTCTTCAGCGACTTAAGCTTTTGCTCCTGGCTGGCCTAACCGGGGCGGAAGAACTCCTTTCCCTAAGCGGGGTCTCTTACAAGGGAACCAAATACGGATAGCTCTTATTCCTTACAAATGATGGAGTAGTTCGCCCACTTCCCCAAGTTTAGAGTCAATCTCCTCCCAATCTGATCCCTATCCTAGTTCTGGCTCCGGCCCACT